TCCAAGCAGGCAGGGTGCTTTTTGAACGGTCCGGAGGCTTCGAAGATGGCTTCTATGTTAAGGCGGGGGGACTTCTCAGAAACCAACTGGCTCCTCATGGAGCCACCCCCATCGAGCCGCCGCTCCCATCGCCTCTACGCCGCCAACCTTCGAGGCCGCGTGGTTGTCCCGCAGCTTGTGCACGTAGGCGATCATGGCGTGCAGCGCGCTGCCCTCGAAGAGGGCCCAGTTGCTGAGGACGTCCTCCTTGCCGTCGGCCGGCGCCTCGCCGCTCAGGCTCCAGTCGCAGGACTGCGGCGGAGGAGTGAACATCAAAAAAAAATCCTCTCCCCTCCTCCTCCTCCTCCTCCTCCTCCTCCTCCTCCTCCTCCTCCTCCTCCTCCTCCCCCTCCCCCCTCCTACTCCTCCTCCTGCTCCTCCTCCTCCTCCCCCTCCTCCTCCCCCATCCTCCTCCCAGCCCCTTCCTCACCCCCATTCGCTCTTCTGATTCCCGTCCGTTCTCCGTGATCTTGCGGCCTCTCCTCCTTCGCCCTTCGCCCCGTCCCCCCTTTCCCTTTCCCGCCCCCTTCACTTCCCCGCCCTCCCCCAATTCGCATGGGCAGCCCTTCTCTGTCGACTTGAGGTTCGGTCGACCCTCGACTCCGATCGACCCTCGAATTCGATCGAGGCCTCGATTCCGACGCTCGACTTCGATCGAAGTCGAGCGTCGGAATCGAGGCCTCGATCAAAGGCGAAGGCCGATCGAACTCGATTGGTCGAAATTGAGGCCCGATCGGGGCCTTGTCGATGTTGTGCATGGCGCGCGCGTACTGCAGCATGCCGTGGCGTTCCCAGACCGTCGACAGGATGCCCTCGAGGCTCTTGCTGTGGTACCTCAAGTCGTCAGCACACACCTGGGCACAAGCGCCCCTCCTCCTTCTCCCCCACATGCCCCTCCTCCTCTTCCGCCTCCTCCTCTCCTTCAGCCACAGTTATCCTCCTCCTCCTCCTCCTTCTCCTCATCATTCCCCTCCTCCTCTCCCGCCTCTTCCCCCCCTTCAGCCTCAATTATCCTCCTCCTCCTCCTCATCCTTCCCCCGCAGCCTCCTCACATTGCGCCTCCACCCTTTTTGCCTCATCCTCTTCCGTGCCCTCCTCCGTCCTTTTCTTCTTCCTCCTCTTCATCATTCCTCCTTCCTCCTCCTCCTCCTCCTCCTCCTCCTCCTCCACCTCTCCTCCTCCTCCTCCTCCTCCTCCTACTCCTCCTCCTCCTCTATTCCCTCCTCTGCTCCGCTCCTCCTCCTCCTCCTCCTCCTCCACCTCCTCCTCCTCCTCCTCCTCCTCCTCCTCCTCCTCCTCCTCCTCCTCATTCTTCTCCTCATTCGGAGCGTCCCCTGGAACCTTGATGACCTCCTTCGGGTCTGGAAGGGCGGCGACCTTGCGGTCGTGGGCGAGGCTGAACCAAACGTGCGTCCTTCGGGAGGGGGGTGCAAGGAAGAGGAGGAGGATGGGAGGAGGAGGAGGAGGAGGAGGAGGAGGAGGACAAGGAAAGGTAGAAGATGAAAAGGAAAGGAGGAGGCGGAGGGGGAGGAGGAGGAGTAGGAGTAGAAGGAAGAGGAGGAGGAGGATAAGGAGGATAAATATGATACGGAGGGTAAGGAAAAATGAGGAGGAGAAGGAGGAGAAGGACAGGAGGATGAGGATAAGGAAAGGTAAGGAGGAGGCGGAACAGGAGGAGAAGGAGCAGGATAAGGAGGATAGGAGGATCTGGAGGATAAGGAAAAGAGAGGAGGAGAAGGAGAATAAGGGACGGAGGATGAGGATAAGGAAAGGTGAAGAGAAGAAGGAGGAGGACCACAAGGAACAACGAGGAGGAGAAGGAGGAGGAGGATGAGGAAAGGAAGAATCCTCTCGACGTGCTCGATCGACTCCGGCGTCGTTGTCGACATGATGGCATTGAAGAGTTGATCGGTCATTGCGCGCGGTGTCCGCGCGCGGCGCGTCACCTCCTCCAGGATCTGAAAACCCTCGAGGACGAACGGCGGCGGAGGAGAAGGAGGAGAACGAGCAACAGCAGGAGGGGGGGAAGGTGGAGGAGGAGGAGGAGGAGGAGGAGGAGGAGGAGGAGGAGGAGGAGGAGGAGGAGGGGGGGGGAGGGAGAAGGAGAGAGGAGGAAATCAGGGAATAGGGAAGTTTTGGTTTGTTTGTTGCAAGCAGTCCTGGCGGGATACAGGCAGCCCTCCTCCCGCATGTCGTTGTACCACGCGTACCTGGGATGGAGGGGCAGGGCGAGGCGAACAAAAAACAACGTAACAGAAACTTGAACCGAAAAACATCAGGGGCCCGTGCGGGCACGAAACCAGCGGCTCCGCCCAGATCATCAGGATCGCGAACGGGTCGCGGCGGCCGTCGAAGCGAGGGTGATACAACGGGACGAGCCACACCTCCGGCACCCTGCCGCGACCGTGGGGGGACTCCCACGCCTGGAAGTGCCAGCCAGATGGCGGCTGCCGACGCGGCACGGGCAGCTCCATATAGCCAGGAGCCCACCATGGCAGCCGCGCCTCCTGCGCCCGCGGCGGCAGTCTCGGGTGGGGCGGTGCGATGGGGTCCCCGCGAAAGTGATCGCCCAGGTCCAGCCCCTCAAAAAAGGAATTGGATTGCTGCCCCGGGCGCTCCCCGCGGGGGGGCGTGCGCCCCGCGGGGGGAGACGGCGCTCGCGGCGCCGAAAACCAGAGGGCAGAGCGGAAGGCTAAGGGGACGCCTGGGCCGCTCCAGTCCATCTGCTCGAGCCCGGAGGAAGGGTGGAGGGGGGGGAAGGAGGAGGGTGGCGAGGAGGAAGGAGAGCGGCGAGGAGGGAGGCTTTCTCCTCGGGTTTGGGCCCACCTTGAGTTTTGGGAGGGGGGGGGGGAGAGGGAGGCGGAGGTGGGATGCCCATCCTCCGAAGGTTTCGGGCCCATCTTGGGCGCGTCTGGACCAGAATCCCACGAGCCCTTTGGGCGACAGGTGGTCTAACGAGGGTCGCTTTCCTCTTCCACAACCCCTGCTTCCCCTTCGGGAAGGGGTTCACCCCTCCCCCTATACCCCCTCCCCTGGACCTGGACGGGGGGAGGCTGCGACGCGTTGAAGGGTACTTTTTTCGGCCCCTGGGAGCGTCACGAGGATCGTGGCCACCGAGGGGGGGGCCAACATAAGGGAACCCCCTCCTCCCAATATGGCCCCAAGAGGCCCTCCAAGGCTCCCAAGAGGCTCCCAAGAGGGCCCAAAGAGCGCCCCAAGAAGCCCCAGGAGGCCTCCAAGAGGCACCCGAGAGGCCCTCTGGAGGCCCCCGAGCGGCCTCAGAAAACCCAAGATGACTTCCCAGATGGCTCAGATAGTCCAAGCTGGCTCAAGATAGCTCCCAAAATGATCCAAACGGCCCCAACACCGCTCCAACACGGCTCGAGATGACCACGGAGCCTCCCAAGCCCCCTCGTTGTTTGACTATGGGTGTTTCTTCCTCTCTCCCCCCGCCAGCTCTCGCGGGCATCGTTTATGGATGGGCTGGTGGGGACTCGCGAAGCGTCACGAATTTCGACGCGGATCCAGCCGTGTACGAGGACGCCTCAGGAGGCTCAAAAACATGTTTTACATTTCCTATCACCAGTGAACGATCCTCGGGGCGGCACTCCCGCTCCCGCTCTCGTTCCCGCTCTCTCTCTCTCTCTCTCTCTCCTCTTCCTCCCCCGCTTCCTCCTCATCCTCCTCCTCGGGGCTGTTTTTTTTTTCCCCCGCGCCGTGGATTTCGAGGCAGATCTATCCGTGGCCACGAGGCCGCCTCGCAGGAGACGTATTCAAAAGCAAACAAAAAACATAAACCCATGCACCTCGATCATCAGCGGTGGCGGGAGGTGAGTTTTTCTAGAGCGAGGAGGTGAGTTTTTTTTTTTCTGGAGCGGGAGGTGAGTTTTTCTCGGTCAGGGGGGGAGAGGAGGTGAGTTTTTTCTAGGGCCTTGACTCGCACGAATTATCAGCCCTGGGGCCGCCTATATCAGCTAGAAACAGAGGCGACGCGGGCCCGAGGGGCCCGCAGAGACCCCCCGCCAATCAAGCGCGGCACCGCCGAGCCAGTGCCCCGCTTAATTCGACAACGCTCCCGCGGCACAGTTCATTGGTTTAATGTATAAGTATGTACCATTTGTTACACGAAGTTGTTTTAATTATGCTTCTCTTGTGTTAGTCATTGGGCTCCGGCACGTTTGAAAAATTAATCATCGACAGACACTTAGGAGCCTCTGGGTTGGGGGCGGCGCCCAGCTCCAGCGCCCAGCGCCCCAGTGCCCTGCTGGGTCGCCGCCAGAGTGGCCCCCCTCGGCGCCGCGGCGGGGCGCCGCCTGGACCGGCGGCCGCCGGCGGACGCTTGGCTGGGCGCCAACGCCCGGGGGCTCGCGCCGCAGCGAGCGCGGCGGCGCGCCGGGCCCAGAGGGCGATCGGAGTCGCCAAGCCGTACCCGAAGCATCAGCGCGCGAAGCCTCGGACGGTGCAGCTGCGCCAGGGCGCTCACCGGAAAGTCGCGACGCGGGCATCCGAGCAGAACCTGCGGCGGGCGCCCCGCGGCGAGACCGACCGCGCCATGGTCAAGTATCTGGACCACCTGTACTTTCAGGGCCTCAGCATCGCCCGCGCTCGGAACGCCGTGCACGGGGCAATCTTCATGAAGGACTACCCTCGAAAAGGCTGCCACAACCGGGTGCAGGTCCAAGGATGCCCTGGCCGGATGGTTCAATCGCGCGCGCGATCCACTCCCGCGAGAGGGAGCTGTCCTCATCGCGGACAACCTCGCCGCGAGAGGCCCCGAGGGGGTCGACGCCGCCGGGGCCCTGCTGGTCAGCTACGACGGCTACGCGAGGCCTGGCAACACCTTGGCGACGACGGGCAGCGACGTGAGCCAGCGCGCTGCCGGCTCCAATCCGAACTGCCCGAAGCTGGCGGTCACCCTGGCGCCTCGGGCCGACGACCTCGGGCAGCAGCCGGCCCCCTCGATGAAGTCGGGGGACCACGACTGTACCATCGTCTTCGGCGACGACGCGAGCCTGAAGGCGGGCTGCGCGGTGCGCCGGGGCGCCCTGCTGCCGGCGAAGCGCCAGGGCCGACCAACTCGCCCGTTGTTCCCTCTGAAGCTCGCCAGGCACGAGCAGCTGTGCAACGAGGCGGTCGCCGACGCGGGCCTGTCCAGGCTCCGCGTCACCCCGCGCCGTGCCCGGCGCGGCGGCCCCAGCGCCGACGCAGCCAGAGTCCGAGGGGATGCGTTCATAAAAAAAGGGGCCTCTAGAGATCGGCCACGAGCGTCAGAAGGTATGAGAAGCATGGCACTCTCATGAGACAGCTCGGAAAGATGACCCCTGCTCAGCTTCGCTCCGTGCCGGCAGCCCTGTCGAGGCTGCGAGACCGTCTCAAGTGACCCTGAAGGACTGCGAATGAGGATCCCCGCCCGTTCGTGAACACGGGTGCGGAGTAAGTTCAGAATTCTCTCGAAAATTCAGCTATTGATATAATTTGTGATTGACATCGCTCGAGAAGCGACGCGTTTGAGTAACACCCTTGGCAGAACATGTTGTGCTGTATGTTTCCAGCGCTTCGCGAGATTCCAACTGGTGCTTAAGCAATGCTCTGTCCGTGACATATATTGTTTTGGTCTCGAGGGCGACCGCTCCGTGCCATTGTTGTTTTTTGGGTCTGTAGTTCCCGCTCACCCTCACCACGAGGGGGGTGCGCGAGCTCAGAATTATTTCGATAATCCGGCTACTGTTGTCACTTGTGATTGACATCGCTCGAGAAGCGACGCGTTTGAGTAACGCCCTTGCCAGACCATGTTGTGCTATATTTGTCCAGCGCTTCGCGCTCTGCACGTCGTTTCTGGTCGCCCGTGTAGAGATTCCAACTGGTACTTAGGCAATATATATATGTATATATATATATGTGTGTATATATATATATATATATCCTGCTGATCCCATTGTGCCGCACAAAGCGCGTGTCTCGTACGGCGTTCTATCTTGTTCAGTGGACGTTCGCGGCACTGTGTATGCAATACCGATCATGTCTAGACACGTTTGATGTTACGGCTCCGCGTGCGCAATTGCAGAATGGAGGACGAATGAGATAGTAAAGGCATGCCTGAAACAAATCGTAAAATGCAGCCCTCGAGTTGGACCTAACGCGGACTGCTAGAACCCCGTGCAGGGGCAGTGAGCCAGTCTCACTCAGAACCAGAACCTCGTCAACGACTTGCTCCAAGTGTAAGCTCTTGCTGATGTATCCTCATCGCTTCGCGTAGCCCCAGCAGCCCTTCAGAAACGATGCCCAGATCAGGACCGTGGAGGAGAATGTAGTGGAAGAAGGGCTGGGTAAGACGTCGTAGCCCGGGAGGGTGGAGGAGGAATCGGAGGAGGAGGAGGAGGAGGAGGAGGAGGAGGAGGAGGAGGAGGAGGAGGAACAGCAGCAGGAGCGGGGGAAGAGCAGGAGCAGGAGGAAGAGGAGGAGGAGGAGGAGCAGGAGGAGCAGGAGGAGAAGGAGGAGCAGGAGAAGGAGGGAGATGGGGGAGGGGGAGGAGGGAGGAGGAAAAAGGAGGAACATGTGGATGAAGAAGATGACGATGATGAGGAGGAGGAGGAGGAGGAGGGCAAACAGACGGGACAGAGGCATCTAGGATCTAGGATGCCTCTGGAAGTCTCCTCGCACTTATTTCAAGAGCTTCTCAGAGTCCTCTTAGGGCGTCCTGGGGGTCTCTTGGCAGTCCGGGTGCCGCTTGAAACGTCTTGGGTGCCCCTGAGGGGCCTTTTGGGGGTCGCTTGGGAGCCTCTTGGGAGCATCTTGGGGGCATCGTGGGAGCCTCTTGGGGCCTTCTGGGCGCCTTGGGGCCGTCTTGGGGCACCCGTGGGAGCCTCGGGGGCAATTTTGGGGCCATTTTTGGAGAGATCGATCAAAGGAGGGAGGCTCCTCACTTAGGGTCCCCCCCCCAGAGGGGGCCCAAATGTGGCCAGAACCAGCGTAAAACCAATGACTTTAGCTTTCTCGCCAAGGCCTTGTGGGGCGTCTTGGGTGCCTCTGCGGAGCATGTGGGGGGTTCTTGGGGGTCTTTTGGTGGCCTCTCGGGGCATCTTGGGCGCCTCTCGGGGGCCTCTTCGAGCCTCCTTGGCACCTCGTGGGGCCTTCCAGGGGCACCCGTAGGAGCCTCGGGGGCCATCTTGGGGCCATCTTGGAGGATGTCGATCAAAAGAGAGGGGCTCCTCAATTTGGGTATCTCTCCCAGGAGATCAAACTATGGCCCAAACCACCGTAAACCACTGATTTTAGCTTTCTCGCCGAGGCATATTGGGGCGTCTTGGGTGCCTCTAGGGGGGCCTCTTGGGGCCTCTTGGGGATCTCTCGGGAGCCTCTTGGGGACATCTTGGGACCTCTTTGGGTCCTCTTGGGGGGCCTCCTGGGCACCTCTTGGAGTCATCTTGGGGCACCTTTGGGAGCCTCGGGGGCCATCCTGGAGCCGTCTTGGGGAAGGTCTATCGAAAGAGGGGAGCTCCTCAATTGTTGGCGCTTCGCGTATCCCAACCAGTGACCGTAGCCATTTGGGCTCAAGCCTTGGCTCAAGGCCGTCTGGTGGGCCTGCCCTGTCCGGGGCAGTCTCCCACCGCTCAAGGGGGCGCCCGTACGCCGCGCCGCGGGCCTGCGGCCCTGGGCTCCCTCAGGTTCCCCTGGGCGCAACGGCCATCGCTGCAGCAGCGCTGCCAGGTAGCACGGGCCTCAGCTCTATGGGGGATCTCGCGGGGCGCGATACGGGGGATGGGGAGCGTATAGTGCAGAGCATGGGGGCTGCACTGACACAGGATGTCCCCCCCCCCCCCCCCCCAGATCCCAGCCAGACCCAGATCCCCCTTGGACAGCCCTCCCCCCCCGCCCACGGGGCAGATCAGGATCCAGATCTGATGGCGACGGTGAGACAACAACTCAGAGCGGCCGTTAGCCGCGACCCTGGATCTCCGCGGGGAACATCGGAGGTGACGGCCGCGAGGCAGAAGCCCGACGAAGGCGGACTTTCGGTATCCCAGGCGGCCGTCTGCCGCACCCCTGGTGAACAGATGCCGATAATACCCCAGACGGCAGCAAGCCGTCACCCTGGACTTCCCTTCGAACGCGAAGTGGAAGAGGCCGATGGCCACCCTGGACCGCATATTGAAAGAGGATCTAGAGCGGCCGTTAGCCGCACCCCTGGTACTTCCCACCTGGGCGGACCTGCCGAGCAGGCCGCTGACAGGGACAGAGACAGCCCACCGAGAGACAATTCGGGGAAATCCGATATCCCAGAAGACGCCGCCCCAGGCAGTCACCGCGGGCAAGATCCTGGCTGCCTTGGGGGCCCTCACGCCGCCGTCCCCCCGCTCCTCTCACCGACGCTCCACAGCTCCCCATCGGCGACGGTCGCCCCAGCAGGGGCTGGCGGATTCGAGAGAGAACACAACCAGGGGGCCGTCAGCCGCACCCCTGATATCCCTACACTCCCAAGCGAGCAGACGGCGAACAGCCAGGACACGAGGGGCAGAGCCAACCTCGAAGCAGAGGCCAGTATGAGAAGCCCCGCGGGAGATAGGGGAGCGCACGAGGAGCTCGACGAGGCGCCCAGGGCGCCAGGAGAACCGACGGCCAACAGCCGCGAGCAGGGAACGCCGCGGAGGCACACCACGGGCGACGGGACTCGACCCAATGACCAGGCAGCCGTCGGCCGCACCCCTGGCAACCCCACCTTCACAGGAGAGCGGGCAGACGGCGGCCTGGAGCGGTGCAGCCCAGTGGAAAGGAGGGCAGACGGCACCCTCAGCAACGGGGCGGCGTTGGGGCCCCCAGGTATGGGCAGTCCTGCGTTTGGAGGGGCGGCCAGAACGGATCGCTCCGACCTCGACAGACGGGGCGAAACAGATGAGGGCCCAGCGGTAGCCGCGAAGACAGCTCCAGGAACCAGTGAAGTAGGGGGCCCCCAGAGGGGCTGGAGCCAGTAGGCAGACCCAGTCGCCGGCGCGCGCTGTCTCCAACGTTATCTCGCCCACCCCCCCTTCGACCCGGTAGGGCCAGACGGGTCGCCTCAGCCCGGGGAAGGTCCCAGGATTGAGGATCGATGTCCACTCAACGATCGACCCGAGGGAGGAGATGCGAACACCGAGGCCCCCGACAGCGGCATCCGTGCCGCCGGGCAGGAGCCCTTCCCGATCGCCGCTCGATCCGATCACGCGCCCCAGGATCTTCCGATCGCCCCCCCTCCTGGCCTCCTCGCCCCGCCGCCCTCCACTCCTGGCTCAAGCCGTCGCGGGCGGGGAGGGCACCGACCCTGCTCGTCCCCAGACAACGCCATATACTGGCAGGACGACTCGGAGATCTCCGACATTGAACGGGGGCCCCTTAGGCGGACTTGGCCACGCCAGGCCGCTGGAGTCACCCATCCGGGACGGGAGTCGGGAAGCCGACGGACCCCGCCACGGACCGCGGGTAGCAGACCCTAGGCGCGCTGGTCGAGGAGGAACCCTCGACGCACTAGCAGCCCAGCTTACGCCCCGCGAAGGTCCCTGGAGAGAACTGGCGACCGACGGTGGGATGCGCACCGCAGAGATGCGCACCGGGCTGGAGCTCCTGGTGCATTTCTGCTGGAAACGCCACCCCCCCAGGGCACCCGAGGCTGGGCCCAGCCACCTCGGGAGACCGCAGGCCGTTGGGCGACGCCCCTAATCCGCGGAGGTTCTCACCAGAAAGAGGTGAAGGGCGCTGGCGCGACCGCAGCGCCGACCGCCAATTCTACGTCCTGGGGCCAGCGTTGGCGCAGCTCGACCTATCCTGGTTAGTGTGGCCCATAACTGGGGCCGACCACGAAGCCAGACTATGTGGGGTAGGACCGGATTCAGTCCAGGTCCTGGCCTTCTGCAACGCCAGTATCACGCAGGACCCCGCCATCGAGGCTGAAAGGCTTGACTGCGAGAATCCCACCGACGCCGAGATGTTCGCGGCTCACCTTGAGTACGACGCATTACAATATGCAGCACACTGCACGGACGTCGGCCCGGCAGACACCACGGGCGACCTCCTCCCGAGCGCCATCCTCGCACCCGCCAGGTGGAGACGCGACCCCGTCCCTGATAGGCGGGGCGCGGCTCCAGACCTCGACCGCAGATTAAAAATCTGCCGCTGCCTCGCCCACGAGCACCGACAGAGCAGGGCCCACTTCCCGGGCCATAGTGAGGTGAGAAGATGGGCCAGAGACAGAGGAAACTGGATCGACTCAGGCGACGACGTCCTATCGGAAGGGCAGTACGGCACAGGGCCCCTCGGATGGGCTACACCA